CAATGGCACTTACCCCTCATCAGATAAGCCAAGATTGCTTTAAGAAAATGAGAAAAAAAGGTAATAATCTCAGATTAATGTTACATCTTGACACAGAGCAAAATATTAGTATATTATATGTTTTATCTTTGTTTCTTTAAAAGTCAACTAGAAAATGCTATTTCCAATTATATAGAGGTTGCTCCTTAAAAAACCCCTTATTATCTTGAACATAAATTTTGAAATGTCCAACAATATCACTAATCAAAATAAGTGCTTAATCAGGAGATGCTTTGTAAATTCCAAATTTTGAAGTTTAGAATTTTACTCCATGTATCATATTTCCCAGTATCTCTTTAGATTGCAGTGTAAAATTTGAAAAATAGACAAAAAGCTTTCAGCAAAATGCTTCTACCAGTTTCACTTGACATTAACTATCCCACAGAGTGGGTTGAGGTACTTGGAGTCCTAAGATTTTTTTAAAAATTCATTCACAGAATGAAGGCATCACTGGCTAGGCCAGCATTTATTGCTCATTCCTAATTGCCCAGAGAGCAGTTAAGAATCAACCACCTTACTTTGGATCTGGAGTCACATGTTGGCCATACCGGGTAAGAATGACAGTTTCTCTTCCTTTATTAGTGAACCAGATGGGTTTTTCCTGACAATTGACAATGGATTCATGGTGGTCATTAGATTCTTAATTCCAGATTTCATTTCCCTGCCCCCCCCCAAATCCAAATTCCACCATTTGCCATGGCAGGATTTGAACCCAGGCGCCTAGAACATTACCTGGATCTCTCGATTAACAATCCAGTGATAATACCACTGGGCCATCACCTCTCTCCTCCACAACAGACAGTTGTCAATACCTTTATCAGAGGAACATTTGGTCCAAATTCCTATCTTCTAAATGCCATAAAGTGTTAATCACAAGTTGAAAATACTGGACAGCTGAGGAACTTTTGAAGTGCTGCTACCATGATTTTACATCATTATGATTCACCTGGAGGCTATGATTTAATTAAGGCAGACTGAACTTCAGTGGTTTGAAAATTGATGTTATAATTCAATCACGCGCAGATGGGCATTGAAAAGCAAGTTTAAATATATAAAGAATCAATAACATAGCAATAACAATTTTCAACTTTATACTGAAACAGCCTTTTTTGCTTATGATGGCTAACCATAGCCTTCACTGATTCGGTGCATTTGGTGAGTGAAATAGCTGTATGATTTACTTGGAAATGGTGTTCAAATGATATGCAATGCGCACTTGCCTTTCACCAAGTCACAACAAAAATCTTTTTCCCACCTCCCAAAATTTAGAATAAAATATTCATGAACAAACATGAGTTGCAGTACGAGTAGTGAAAAAATTAAAAATAATTCATTTTTCCAAAAAAAAAGGCAGTTTCATTCATTGGACTTTTAACTAATCTGCTTACTTTATGTTAACAAAACCAAAATTATTTTGTTCCGTGTATGCAGAGTAGTTCACAGTTGAAAGCAACTAATATGAACAACATTAAAGAGAAACATCAGTTACATTTCCTGACTGATTTATACCTTCACAATTTTTTTTGCTTACCACATAACTATATGAATTATGGTGAAATCTTACAAGCATTTACATTTGGTCATTTGCTTAAATCTCAAAAACTTGCTGATGAATAATTGGGCATCACATGAAAGCAAACCGCACATAGAAGATTTAATCTCTTCAAATTTCTGCATTTGAATTTGATCAATATTCAAATTTTTGAAAAATGCCGCAAACAACTAACACTGAGAAAAGCTAAACACATTAGATGAATTCATCAGGATTCAGCTAGTCCAAAAATCAGCTTAAACTCATGCATGTAACTGATTTATGTTTAGCAGCTTTTGTGTGTTCAGCAATTCTCATGCTCCCCAAAACAAACAGTCCCTCTGCTGGTAATTTTATTAATGCTCTCTAAAGCGAATAACAGCATCCAAAATTAGGATAAAAACCGAAAGAACTGCGGATCCTGTGAATCAGAAACAAAAACAAGATTTCGGGTCCAGTGACCCTTCTGCAGAACTGGGGAACTGTTCCGAGGAAGGGTTACCGGACCCGGAACATTAACTGTTTTTTCCTTCACAGATGCTGCCAGACGTGCTGAGCTTTTCCAGCAACTTTTTGTTCCTAAAATTAGGATTATGCTCAGTGAAAAGCTAATCGGCTTGTGCTGATGTTATATAGAAATCTAATTTGTAATTCAAAAAACTTTTAGAACTTGTGACTGCGTTCTACGACAGCCCCTTCTCATGCCTCACATTCACATTCAGCCCCAAATGCTGCCAACTACTAGAGATTAAATAAATGATTGCGTAAGAGGAAAATGGAATCTAGAGAAACTTTTTTTTTTTTTTAAAACATATTGCTGTTATCATTTGACTGAGTTTTTCCATCATATTACATCCAAAGCCCTAACTGAGGTCAATGGAGACAGTTTTCTGTTATTGGAAATTAACGTTTATTTTAACTACAAGAGGCATTAGCTTTAAAAAGAAACGCTAGTTACAAAAATAAAACAAAGAACAAGAACAAAGAAAATTGCAGCACAGGAACAGGCCCTTCGGCCCTCCAAGACTGCACTGATCCAGATCTTCTATTCAAACCTGGTCGCCTATTTTCCAAGGCTCGGTATCCCTCTGCTCCCTGCCCATTCATGTATCTGTCTAGATACATCTTAAATGACGCTATTGTGCCTGCCTCTACCACCTCCGCTGGCAACACGTTCCAGGCACTCACCACCCTCTGCGTAAAGAACTTTCCACGTATATCTCCCTTTAAACTTTTCCCCTCTCACCTTGAAATCGTTCTTGCTATCCACCCTGTCTATACCTCATGATTTTGTAGACAACAAATCAGGTCCCCCCTCAACCTTCGTCTTTCTAATGTAAATAATCCTAATCTACTCAACCTGTCTTCATAGCTAGCGCTCTCTATACCAGGCAACATCCTGGTGAACCTCCTCTGCACCCTCTCCAAAGCATCCACCTCCTTTTGATAATGTGGTCACCAGAACTGTACGCAGTATTCCAAATGTAGTTAAACCAAAGTCCTATACAACTGTAACATGACCTGCCAACTCTTGTACTCAGTACCCCATCCGATGAATGAAAGCATGCCACATGCCTTCTTGACCACTCTATCGACCCGCGTTGCCACCTTCAGGGTACAACGGACCTGAACACCCAGATTTCTTGGTGCATCAATTTTCCCCAGGGCTTTTCCATTCACCCTGTAGTTCGCTCTTGAATTGGATCTTCCAAAATTCATCACCTCACATTTGCCAGGATTGAACACAATCTGCCATTTCTCCGCCCAACTCTCCAATCTATCTATATTCTGCAGCATTCTCCGACAGTCCCCTTCACTATCTGCTACTCCACCAATCTTAGTGTCATCTGCAAACTTGCTAATCAGACCATTTATACCTTCCTCCAGATCATTTATGTATATCACAAACAACAGTGGTCCCAACACAGATCCCTGTGGAACACCACTGGTCACAGTTCTCCATTTTGAGAAACTCCCTTCCACTACAACTCTGTCTCCTGTTGTCTAGCCAGTTCTCTATCCATCTAGCTAGTACACCCTGGACCCCATGCGACTTCACTCGCTCCATCAGCCTACCATGGGGAACTTTATGGACTTCAGTAAGGCGTTTGATAAACATTAACATCTTAGGCTTCAGAAGTAGAGGCATAAGGCTAGGAATTTATGAAGTCGTTCTATAAAAACATAAGTTTGGCTACAGCTGGAAAAGAGTGTTCAATTTCGGATGGCATATTTTAGGGAGAGTTTGAAGACTTTCAAGGGGAGGGATTTACAAACAGGTTGCAGGTGTGGGGGATTGCAGCTATGTAGATAAATTGAAATGGTGGGTTTTGATAGCAAAAGTGACTAAATGGAAACCTGATACAGGTATTTAAAATCATGAAGGATTTAGGTGGAGTAAATAAACAAATGGTTTCCAGCAGTCAGTAATGTACAGATTTAAGGCAGCTCACAAACAAACTAGAATGGAATCAGCAAAACCTGTTTTTAGGGATGAGTGGTTAACTGGGTGTGAAGAGGTTACTCTTGTAGGTGTAAAAAAATTAAAACCACATACATGAGAGTTGTGGTCTTAATTTCAACCACAAGTACCAAATAAACAGAAAGACCATAATGAACAACGTTGGAGTAAAGTAGTTCATTGGGTAACATCTATTTTTATTCTTGACTTTTATGTTATGATTGGAACTTGACACTACACACAGTATTTAGCATAAACAAGATTTCCTTCAAAAACTGTTTTCGGAGATTAGATGTCCATCTGATGCCATCAAAATAATAAACTACTCTACAAAATGAATGGCAATTTAGCTCAACAATCTGAACAAATTATACAAAGGCTGTGTGAAATTTTGTTTATTTCACTCAATAAAACTCCATTTACGTGCCCATGAATAAAAGATTGCAACTGGAGTAAGTGATAAAAATCGAGATACATGTTTTCAACATTCTTACATGATCAAAGACGGGAAGAAAATCACTATTTTCTAGAAACAAAAGGTTATCTGATACTTAAAACCAAGATCTCAGGTAACTCTTCTTCCTGTGATCAGGACTTTAAATAAAAGGAGCAAACCTGCAAGATAGATGAATTGATGAAGCAATCAGCGCCTGAACGACAAGTAACCCCTAAAATATAAATTGGCACTACTGAAGCAATAAGCAGCAAGAACTGTTCTCAAGTGGCAGCCATAACATATCAAAAGATTATAGGTTCAGACCCTATTGTTAAGATTTTAAATACATAAAATCAGGGAGACAGTTCTGTAGTGATAATGTCACTAGGCTAGTAATAAGGAAGCCCAGGCAATGTCCCGAGGACGGCGAGTCAAATTTCACTTAGGCAGCAGGGCATGCAGCAAGTGCTGAGGGAACCAATCTATTCTGACCACACAACCTCAGGTATAAAACATTGCCATGGACAGATGCATCTGCATGATAGGTGAAGTTGACATAGCGCACTTCTTGTGAAAGAAAAGCCCCTTCTTCACACTCAGCATATCCTTCATTGTGGAACATAGTACTAAACAATGCCAAATGGGAAAGATTCAGAACAGAACTTGCCATGGTGGACTTATATTCAACAACAATCTCTAAGCTCACAACCCAACATATATCCCACTTACCATCAAGTCAAGGGATCAATTCAGTGCAATAAAACGTACAGGATAGCATGACAAGAGCAGCACCAGGAATTTCCAAAATTAAGTGTCAACCTGGTAAAAACAACTCAGGACCACTTGGGTGCCATATAGCAGAAACAGCATGAATAAACATAGCTAAGTGATCCCACGACCAGTGAATCAGATAAAGCTCTGATGGTGTTACTTCCAGCTGTGAATGGTAGTAGGTAACAAGGATAAAACGTTTGTAGCCGGAAGTGCTGATTGGACGATCGGAGCCCCAGCAACACAGATGCAGTCTTCAACCAATGCGGTTCACTCCACATGATATCAACGAACAGCTGACAACAGTATGGCAGTATGACTGAAGATGTGCTCCTGAGTGAAATGACCCCCTAACCAAGCAGTTACAACAGTAGCAAACACCTAGCAATGTGAAAAATTGCCCCAAACATTTCCTATCCACAAATGTAGGACAAATCAAACTAGTGCTGCAGTTTAGTCAATCAGCAAACTTAGACCGATTGACAGTGTCACTAAATGCCATTTACATATCAATAATCAGCACATTGATACCATTTCCTTGTTTCCCCATTATGAGTTCCTCAGCCTCATCCTCTAATGGACCAATGCTTACTTTAGCTACTTTTTTTTTTTAAAAATATACTAAAAACTTTTACTGGAAATTTCACACAGCTGGAATTGTGCAGGTTTTCACAAGCAGATTGGCACTAATATTTGATGTCGAGAGAATGCAAGAAGCTCTACCATGCATACGTACTTGGTATATCTGAGCCCACTGTGCTTAATGGCAAAGTGGAAAATGCACTGCCATTTTTCATCTTGTAACACATTAAAAAAAGTAGATTGTGAATCGCAATGCTACAGCTTTGTTGTGCATTCACTGTTCAACTTTCAGATTAAGAACTTTACTTTAAGAGACTCTCACTCTGCTTCACTTTGGAATCAGTTAATAATCAAGTGACATGATTTTCGATGATGTGGAAGTTCTGATCATTACCAGTAGTTTGAAATTAATGAAGGTATCCTAAACTGTAAAACAAGTTTGATAAAGTGTGAGCTATAAACACCAGCAATGAAAACAGCACATCCATCTAATTTTAGGTTATTGACATTTATAGTAACCGTTTGAAGGTCAATAGTAATTACACTTCGTATTCAGCTAAATATGCAGAACTCAATGTTTCAAATACAGCAATCAAGACAAACACCATTCTTTAGTCTTGTTGGAATACTAACAAATGAGAAGAAACCTGTTCGTCATACAATACAAAAGGGACAGATTTCTCAATGGGGATTGCCATTCCACTCCTTTTTTTAAAAATGTAAAGGAAGATTTCTACAATTCTGAAAGATTCCAATCAATCAGACTTCCTTCAGAAAGGCAAAGCAACTTTAATTCTTACTGGTGCCTCATTGTGCAGGATATTTGGGGAAAGTCAAGCTATACCTGCTTTTTCACACCAACAAGCTATTGCTTTGATACCTTCTGTGAAAGGGTAAGCACATTAGGCAAATGAGAGATTGGGGCAAAAGACTGGAAGAAGGACACGTAGGTGCTGCAGTGTTTCAGGCATGCAGCGGTGCACAGGCTATCAGGTAATTCAATCTCAGGCAGAAAGTGATAGCTGGTGTGGGAGGGTAGGGGATGTTGTGGTTGTCCAGCTGTGGGGGAGATGGGGAATGCCAGTTGGGATCCAGAAGGTGTAAAGGTTGTGCAGGAGGCCACGATTGTTTTGAATAGTGGGACGGGCCTAATGGGCTGAATGGCCTGTTTCTGCTCCTTTGTTCTCATGTTCTGAATTTGGTGGTCAGTTTAATAATTATCCAGGTGTTAGACTAGGTTTTTAAACAATCTAATCTTTTCCAAGTAACTATTCAATTAATTACAGAACCCTCCAAGTTTTCCAATTTAACTGCACATTCTAGGGGTTCCAGGCGCAAGGGAATTGCCCATTAGAATCTTCAATTCCCCAGAAGATTCCTTGGGGTCTTCTATGTCAGGGATTCCACAGGGTCCCGATGCATAACTCTCATCTATACTGTAGGAAGAATTATCCAGCCACTGGAAAATCTGGACCAATTTTTTAGGATTCTGAACCAGAGGAGTTTAAAAAAAGTAGTCCAATAAATTAACAGTTGGACACGAAAAAGCGGAATACCTTTGTGCTGCTGTTTTTACAATTGACTGCACGTTGGCATGATGAAAACGCCTTCCACGAATCACATTTCCTGGACTCGAAGGACCACTAATTACGAAGGTTTTATTCTGATTTTTTTCAATCTCCTTGTTTGGTTCAAGATGCGAGGTCACAGTCTCACTGCCAAATCGAAGAAAGTTAGCATTTCAATACACTTATTAGAAAGTTGCCATTTAATTATCTACCAACAAGCAGCAACATTAGCAACTTGGATGTGAGAAGGGACGGAAGTTCGTAAGAGCATACAAACTTTCAAGCAGATGATGACCATAAAACTGACTGCTAAATAAAAAGCTAAAAAAAAAAGTGATAATTGAAAAATAGGTTGTGCAAGTTTAAGTTGATCAAAAGCCAACATTACGTGCAGCCTCTGGGTCAAAGCAGTAGAACTACACGTTGTCTTATAAATCTGTTGATGATTTAAGGCAATCAATATATCCCATGCAGGTACACATTTAAAACTTTCTCGTAAAACCAAGCAGTGGAGGCCCATATTTTTCTAGTTGTGTTTTATCTTAAAGTCATCCCTGCATTTTGTTTAGTGTCTTAACATTGAAAATTTGGCACTTAATTTAGGTTTCTTCACTTGTTTCCATGCATCTCCACAACTTCGTTAAAACATTCAATCATTAAGCGCAGTATCTAATGAACTACACTTCATTCTTAAAATACACGACCAGCATAAAGATGCATGCTATTTCCACAGAGCATAGATAGTGCCTTATGAGAAAGGCTATTTAATCATGCAAATATAGAAAACAGGATTGACCATTCAGCCCTTCGAGTTTGCTCTGCCAGTCATTGTGATCATGGCTGATCAGCCAACTCAATAGCCTGTTCCTGCATCTCTTTAGCCCAAGTGCTATATCCAACTTCTTGAAATCATACAAAATTTTGGCCTCGACTGCTTTTTGTGGTAGCAAAAGCAATCACCAGAGTCTCAACACTATGGGTAAAGAAATTCCTCATCTTGGTCCTAAATGGTTTACCCAGAATCCTTATACGGTGACCCCTGGTTCCGAACTTTATAGGCTTCTATGAGATTCCTCCTCATTCTTCTAAACTCCAGTGAATAAAATTCTAACGAATTCAACGTTTCTGAAGTTTGTCAGTCCTGCCCAGGAATCAGTCTGGTAAACCTCACTGCGCTCCCTCTGCGCCAAGAGCATCCTTCCTCAGAGAAGGAAAACAAAACTGCATACAATATTCCAGGTGTGGTCTCACCAAGGCCCTGTATAATTGCAGCAAGACATCCCTGCTCCTGTACATGAATCTTCCCACTATGAAGCTAACATACCATTTGCCTTCTTACCTGCTTACCTTCAGCAAATGGTGAACAAAGACACTCTGGACTCTGTGCACACTCTCCTTTCAATTTATTGCCATCCAGATAATAATCTGACTTCTTGATTTGCTAAAGTAGATAACTTATCTACATCATACTTCATCGGTCATGTATTTGCCCACTCACTCAGCTTGTCCAAATCACACTGAAGCATCTCTGCATCCTCCTCACAGCCCACCCTCCCACCCTGTCTTGTGTCATCTGCAAATCTGAAGATATCACATTTAGTTCCCTCATACAATTAATAAATTCTGAATAGCTGGGGTCGTAGCACTGATCCCTGCCATACTCCACAACTCAGTCATTCAGAAGAAGGACTATTTATTCCTACTCTTTGTTCCTGTTTACCAGCCACTTCTCTATCCATGTCAGTACACTACACAGAATTCCATTCACTTCAATTTTACATGCTAATCTCTTTCAAAGAGACTAAAAGCCCAAACAACTCTACTTGTTACATTCTCAAAGAATTCCTGTAAATTTGTCAAGCATGATTTCCCTTTGGTAAATCAACGCTGACTATCCAATCCTGCAGAGCTGTTTTCCAAATACTCAGCTATTAATTCGTTTATAATAGACACCAGCATCTTCCCTACTACTGATGTCAGGATGACTGGTCTATTATTCCTAGTTTTCTCTATTTAAGAAGGGAGGCAGAGAGGTTACATTAGCTAACCTGCAAGTCTGTAAGAACTGTTCGAGTCAAAAGGATCTTTGAAGATTATTTCTAGGCCACTTCCTTAAGTATTCTGGGATGCAGATTATCTGGGCCTGGGGATTTATTGGTCTTCAATCCCAATTTCCCCCAATACGATTTCCCTACAGTAGTGATTTCCTTCTGTAACTTCCCTCTCACTGAACCATGTTCCCCAACATTTGATGTGTTGCATCCCCCTTTGTTAACAGAACCAAAGCATGTATTTGGTTTGTCAGCCATTTCTTTGTTACCCATTATAAAATCCCTTGCTTCTGATTAAGGAACACAATTTTCACCCCTCTATAACTTTCACATTGTCCATTTCCGACACTTCCCTTCCTTTCCCTGGACCTCCGTCTCCATTCCGGGGAATAGACTGTCCACTGCCATCCACTACAAAGCCAGAGTCCCATAGTTACTTTCACTACAGCTCATCACACCCAAGTCCTGCAAGGAACTTCATCCAATTCTCCCAACTCCTCCTCCGACGTTGCATCTGTTCGGATAATACTACCTTCCAAAACAGCGCTGCTGACTGGCTTGCTTCTTCCATGACTGTGGTTTCCCACCCACTGCGATTGACAGGGCCCTCAACTGCATCCGACCTATCACCTGTGCTTCTGTCCTTCCAGTGAATCATAGCAGAAACTGGAAGAACATCACCACATCTTCAGACCAGGAACTTTGTAGCCTTCTGGAGTTAATATGGAGTTCAACACCTTCAAATTGTGAACCATTTGTTCCTTTTCTTTTAGCTTGTTACATTTTGTTATCATGTCTTCTCTCCCCTCCTCCCACCTCAGTGGGGCTCTCTGTCAGAGTCATACAGCACAGAAACAGACCCTTCAGTCCAACTGGTCCATGCCAAACATAAGTCCAAACTAAGATTCTCCAGCATCGGCAGTTCCTACTATCTCTGAAACTAATTCCACTGTCTGCTCCTGGCCCATATCCCTCCTAACTTTTCCTATTCATATACTTATCCAAATGTGTTTTCAACATTGCAATTGTACCCGCACCCACTACTTCCTCAGGAAGTTTATTCCACAAGTGAACCATCCTCTGCGTTAAAAAAAAAATTGCCTTTTTGTTTAAAAATCTCTCTCCTCTCACCTTTAAAATGTGCCCCCTAGTCTTGAAATCCCCTACCCTAGTGAAGACAACTATCATTAACCCTATCTATACCTCATTATTTTATAAACTTTTACCTGGTCACACCTCAACCTCCAATACTGGCAGGAGACATACCATTATTCTGCCATCCTCACATTCCTAACACTTAATCCGAACTGGAGATAGTAGGAACTGCAGACGCTGGAGAATCCGAGACAACAAGGTGCAGGGCTGGATGAACACAGCAGGCCAAGCAGCATCATAGGAGCAGAGAGGCCGACGTTTCGGGCCTAGACCCTTCATCAGAAAAGGGGGAGGGGAAGGGGGTTTTGAAATAAATAGGGAGAGAGTGGGAGGCGGATAGAGGAGAGGATAGGTGGAGAGGAAACAAACAGGTCGAAGAGGCGGGGATGGGGCCAGGAAAGGTGAGTGTAGGTAGGGAGTTAGGAAGGGGATAGGTC